TATATATAGCCAAAAGTGTACACACACTTCAGGAAAAGAAAAATAGTATGATATGTTTCAACAAATGGTGTTACCCTCATATGGGAGACCCTAGAGGATGTCTTATATCACAGAAAACCCACTACACTGCTGGCCCCTGGAGAAGAATTTGAAAAAGCATGTACAGCAATCTCAGTGACTAAGGCTACCCAAGCAGCAGTTCACAGAACTAATAAATGTCTGGAAGATAACAGCCACCGCTTTGAGCAGCTCTTCAAATTGCAGAGGCCAAAAGTAACATGTATTAATCTTGTGATGTCTCAGTAAATTTAGTATTAAAATATTTATACAAGGTTTTTCTTTTCCTGAAGTCAACAATCTCCACCCCGTATTTACTTATCCATTCATCCATCAATGGACACTGAGTTGCTTCCCTCTTTTAGCTATTATGAATAATGCTGCTATGCTGGGTGTACAAATCTCTCTTAAAGACCCTGGTTTTGATTCTTTACAGGATATCCCCAGTAGCTCAGTATGCTAAATCATGTGGTAATTTTTAACTTTTTAGAGGCATGACCATATTGTTTTCCACAGTGACTGTACTACTTTACATTTCTATTAACAATACACAAGGGTCCCAATTACCCCATACCTCCACTTTTACTTATTTTTTTCCATTCATCTTTATAGGAGTCATCCTAATAGTTGATCAAGTTAGTCATTTTTTAAAAAAAAAAAAGTGATCTTTACAAAACAGCTTGGTAATTCCCATGTGAGAACAGAATAGTTATCAGCCAGTTAAATGTAACTCATTTCCTAAATAGCTATGACCACCTTCTTCCCTACCCCCTCCTATATGAACCTACCTGTCCCTGCAGGGATGGAAGTTGTTTCTCCAACACTTTGAATCTGGGTGACCTCTGACTGCTTCAATCAAGAGAATATGGTGGAAATGACTTAACTTTACTTTTGTGAGAACTTGAAATTTCACATAGTTTTCTTGCTTCTTGGGGCCTTAACTGCTATGTCAGAAATCCAAGTTGCTTTGCTGGAAAGAATGATCAAGTGGAGGGGTATCGAGGCTTAGACATGTGTAATGAAGAAACCAGTGTGGATATTCAGCTCAGTCGAGCTGTCACGTAGCTCTAGTTCCAGCAGCTAGATGATTGCAATTACATGGGAGACCCCAAGTGAACACTGCCCAGATTAACTCAATCAATACAGAAAACTAGAAGAGAAAATAATAGTATGTTGTCTTAAGTCACAAAGCATTGTTGTGGTTGGTTACACAGCAGTATACTACTGTGATAAATGAGTCTCATGGTTCAACACAGAGCAAAAATCCAAACCAAATACTTTCCACTATTAAATTTTATCTCTGTATTTCTCTTTCCATAGTCAATTTAGTTAGCTTTCCTCCCGTTGTTTTACCCATAGCTGTAGTAGTGTATGTGAATTATTACTGTTAAGCCCAAGTCTTACAAATGTGTGCTTATATATAATTTTTTTTTTTTTAAGAAGAGAAAGTGGGCGACAGGACGACCAATGGCAGTGCAACCAACCCGGCCCTGGCCAGTCCCAGGCACTGACTTTTATTGGCAATCAATTGGGGTGAAGGTGAGCCACTTGCAGTTTCTATGGAAATTAAGGTAAACAGGCTCATAAAGCACAAAATAAAGCATTCTCCAATCAGTGACAGAATAGACAAAATATATGATTATAATCAGAACACTGTCCTTCTAGTCTGAAGGTGTTAGTTGTGGGAACGGAATTTGGGTGCGAGTTACTCTGACCTTGGCACATAGGCTTTGGCCCGGCTCACTCCAATAAACAAGCCAGTCATGGGGTTAACTCTTCACAGCCTGCCTTGGGCATGATCAATATTGCATCCCCTGCAGCACCATGTGATTGGGAAACACCAAACACTCTCTCCTCTGGAGAGGAGGGAAACACACACAGAGCTGTGAAAGTTGATAGATCATTGGAGAACTTGCATAAAAGTTCTACCCCTGAGATTCTAACTTCTAGCCACCTCTTGTCGCTTCTTAAAGTGACCAAGATGCCAACCAGGAGGAGGCAGATTTGCAGTGGGTCCTGTTTGCCATGATGGTGGCCACTGCTCACCTCACTGGTTTACCTCCAGATTGAAAAGAACAGCACATAGGGTGTAGACATTGTAGTTTGCCTGTGTGGTGGAATACGATACAGTCATTAAAGATGGTGCTGGCTCCCTGTGGTTGACTAGGAACTATTAGACCACAAAATATTAAGTAAAAAGCAAGATAGAAAACTATGTATTTATGGGCCAGGGATTTAGCTCAGTGGTTTCACTGTGCAAGCGCAAGGACCCGAGTTCGATCCCTGGTACCAAAAGAAAAAAGAAAAGAAAAGAAAACTATGTATTTAGTAGTAGTCCAGGCTTTAAGGGGAACAAGTGCATGTGCGAAGCATGCGCGCACACACACACCCCAAAGGAGAGAAGGACACATGAAAAGTTGAACTCAAACCTAAGCCAGGGCCTCTAAACTTGGGCTACAGACAACAATGAAAACTTCTGCTTCCATGGACGGGTGGCTATTTCTGATTCCCCTCTTTATAACACTATCTGAGTCTCCATTATTACACTACATATGTTTGTGTAACTTTAAAGACATGAAGTCTCTAAAAGGGGCAGCCATGGAAGTGGCTATCATAGCCTTTTGAAGGGTTTGAAAACACAGAACTCTCACAGTGGGCCTGCTCGCCTCAGCCTCCTGCTGGGACTCCTGTTTCCCCAGTGCCTCTCTTTCCTGTCCCTGTTTTGAACTGACCACTCATTCCTAAACATCCCCACCTTCAAGTCCTGTCTGTAAGCAGAGGAGTGAGGAGTCACCATGGTGAGCAGCGGAGACTGCAGGGATGTAATGGCAGAGACTGGGCCCAGGCTAGGGACAAACGAGGTTTATTTCACATCCTGCATCTCTAGAGAAGCAAGCTGCTGTGGTTCTCCGCCGGGAGCTATCAGGCAGCAAGGCGACAGCAGGGCGAGATACCTGGATGTGTTGGCAAGTGTGTGGGGCACTCAGCAGCTACAGCTTGCAGCCATCCAGCCACTGCTCCAGGGAGTCGGAGAATCGGCAGTGCAGGGACCAGCTGGGCCTGTGGGGGAGGCCAGAGAGGGGTCAGGAGAGGCACAGGAAAGCCAGAGCCCAGGCCTGGCCATGTATCCCGCCCCCAGCACCCAGAGTGCCTGGGGCCTGCGGTGCCTGCTGTGGGCATGTTCCTGGAGTCTCGGTCCACGCCTGGGCACAAGTGCCACCCCAGCTCACATGGGAAGTCACGTGACCACAACGTCTCCCCAGCCCTGCATCCTGAGCACCCTCAGCTCTCCTGAAGCAAGCTTCAGACAGAGCATCGCGCTGTGTCCTCAGCACTGTCCCAGGCCAGGCCGGTTGCCCCCTCCAGGCACCCTCTCTGCTGGGTTTCCAGAATCCCTTTCAGCTCCTCGACCTTGCCCAGCCAGCTCAGCTGAGATCCTCTGACCCTTCTGCCTGGTGGCCCAAAAGTTACTGCCCTTATTTGCACCCAGCCTCGGGCCCTGTCCCCATGGAGCATCAGGCCAGCTGGGAGCCACCGCAATCCTTCCGTCCATCAGTCGGGCAAACTCCCCTGTCCTCCAGAGCAGGGGGTCTCTTGGCCGCTCATAGCAGGCTCACACCCCATCTTTCCCTGCACAATTTTCCTGGCACATCTGATTGTGTCCTTTAAATTCGGATTCAGTAAATCTGAGCAGTCCACATGGCAGAGGTTCCTGCCCAGCGCACACCACTTGCGGTCTTGGATCTGGAAGAGGCCGAAGCCCGTGGAGCCGTCCTGTGCATTCTCGTACACCGCCGAGGGGTTGAACTTGCTCTCGAAGTAAGCCAGGCACACCCCTGGGCGCCCTCCTGGAGAGGAAGAGTGGCCCCCGAGGAGCCTCCGCGTCTGCTCAGGAAGGTGCTGGGCCTGCTCCCGGCTCCGGGGGTTTCCGGTGTGCTGCCTTAATAACTCAGTCACCTTCTCCCAAGAGCTTCACAGGCCTCAGTCTGTCTCCATGCCCAGCACTTCTAAAACCTTCTCTATGACATCAGCTGCTGTGGGCCGCAACCTTCTGGAAAGGGAAGGGGCTGTCACCGTTGCGTCTGTATTCATTTCTACTGCTGCTGTCATGAGCTACCACGCATCTGGAGGCTGGCACAACATGGCTTAGTTACTATCCAGTGGTACACGTCAGAAGTTCGTGGCGCTCATGGGGCTAAAGTCAAGGGTTGGCAAGCCGCATTCTTTCTGGGCGCTCCCGGGGACGTGCGGTCCTCTCCCTCGGGGCTGGCGGTGGCCTGTGCTCTCCTTGGCTCCTCTCTCTCCTGTCTCCAAAGCCAGCAAGGGCGCCTCCTCCTCGTCACACCTTGTCTCCCACTCCCAGGCCTTCGGGCTGCACTGGTTGCCCAGACTCAGGACTTTCGCACCCTTTCCAGGCCCTTGTCAGGCCTGCAAGTCCTGCAGGAACAGAGGCCAGAGCCAGAGTGTGGGCACCCTTGGGGACCAGAGCTCCGCAGCCTCAGCATTCCTGAGACCCCGTGGGACCCCTCTTAAAGGGAGCAGGGAAGAGCCCCTCATTTAGCCCTCTGACTCCCTGGGCCCAAGGTCAAAGGCCGCTTATATATAAATCTTAAAGTTTATTTTTCGATTTACCATAAAAGCACACAGAATTCACAAAAGCAATTGGCAAAGTACAACACCAGAGTTGTGGAATTAATGGTGGGGAATCCCAACGGAGTTCACCAAATTTTACATATCAATGATTTATTGGCCAAGTTCATAACAAGTGATATATATATACTCTTGTTTTGAAGCATACTAACAGAGGCCATTCTATGATCTGCTAAAAATATCCAGCATGATAATCTGCTCTCTGGTTTCCTAGAGAAAATTTCCTTCATGATAATTTGCTACATAACTGCCAGGAGAGATTTATCTTCTTCCATAGCTAAGACTCAGATCCAATAGTGAGGTAGAAGAAATATAAAACTTGAGATTCATAGCTTAGCTTCTTAATATCAAACAAATCTCCCTGCCTAACCTCTCTGGTGTTATATCCAGATTTTAGTAACTAGATTTTCAGTAACTGGACCTTTGACTACTCATTATGTCAAAAATAGGGAAAGCATTACATAGGGAAAAGAATAAACAAAAACATATTTTACATTTATTACATAGTAGACATTTTTCCAAGTGCTTCTCTTTCTCTCACTTTGTATCTGCTCAATGCTGGAGTCCTATCATATCTCTAAAAGCCAGAACAATTAAAGAGAACAATTAAATAAAAATGGTATAGTATATTAATTATATCTCAATATAACTGTTATCAAAAATCTTCCTCTCCTCATCACTACTACTGTCATCATCACTCAGATGTCTTCACTTGCCTCAGTTATTCCAACAGCTTCCACACTGGTCCCTCAGCTGCAGATCTTGCTCTGTTTTTGGTCACTGACAACAGTCAGGGACCCTCTACAAGCTTAACAAGCATAATTTAATCTAGCCAACTTATCCAGTTCAACAAATATTCAGTCATCCATTTCATAATGCCAGGAACATCATCTGTGCCAAGACTGTGTAGAATATAGAAAACGCATAAAGCAATTGCCTTGGTTTTGAATGTTATAAAACATGTTCTTTAGTTGCTAGAATACAAAGCAACATGTCATAAATCAATTGGGACAATTGTAAACAAAGTGTTAGTATGTTTTAGGAAAGAAAAATCATGTTGCATTGGAAGAATCAGAAAAAAAAAAAAACTTCCAAGAAAGAAATGTTATTTATTTCTTCTACCACACCTACTACCCAGTAGCCTTTGAATATTGTTGAATAGAGAAATGAATGAATCAATAATAAAGTAGAAATAAATGAACAGGTACTTGTCATCAATAAAAGATGACATTTCTGTGTCAATGAAATCATTTAGTTGGCCACATCAGGGCAAGTGAAATGTTCCAGGGTAAAAGATAATGGGACTTAAGAACTTGTGAGTGGGTGAACTTGCTTTAACTAGATCCTATGGTGAAAGAAATATTACTCATCAACCCTGGCATTTTTTAAGCTCCAATTATTTCTGGTTAGTCATGTGGATTTTCATATGATCCGCTACTTTTGGCAGACTGCTTAAGCAAGTTTATCTCACAGTCAGCAACCAAAGCTTCCTATTTTCAGTTTTACCCTTGATGGGAACCCTCAAGCCAAACATTCAGGGCCTGTACTTCCCAGTTCACCAGGGCTAGGAGAACAGTCCAAGGAGCGGGAAGGCATGTACAAGTCTCTCCGAAGAAGGCAGGTACAGTCAGCCACCTTAAATAACCCAGAAAGAATTCTTAGATGAAATTTTTCCCTCTATAACTCTGTCACATGCTTCCAGGATGATTCAAATGATAATACCCTTTTCCTAAGTTCATAAATTACAAATTCAGAGCTTGTGTAAATAGCTTAATCATGCACCCAATACTGCAGACAGGAAAACATTGAGCACAAGAGGGTGGGCATAGAAGTGAACACTTGTTCTATCTTCCTCTTAATTTAGAATGAGCAGTGGGGCAGAATATCTATCTCCAAGGTCTCTTCAGCTCAATTCCAAAAGATTTGCCTCTAGGAAGTAGACAGCCTCTCTCACTTGGACACTTTTCCAAATGACAGTGGGATTGAAGAGCCTGATCCCTCACCTGAAGGGTTTTCCTAATCAAGCAGGGTAAACAGATTTAGTGAAATGTCATTCTGAGTAGCTATCAAAAGGTGAAAAAAAAATCCATCTGACTATACCTGAGTCCAAGTACCTCATGCATTAGTAACATCTTCTGATAATGCAAACAGTGTCAGATGTGTTTAAGAGGGCTCTTCTCTTTCCAAGTAGAGACCATTCTTTAAGGATAAAGTGGGTATGCTAAGCTAACTGAGTCTGTGACAGTTTTGGAGAGGAAAATAGCTTCACACCCTCCACAGTCTGAACCTGAGCTCCACAACCTAGTCACTAGCTGCCTTTAAACAAGTCACTGCTCTTTCTGCACCTCAGTTTCCAGAACTATATACAACTATCTTGCAAGGATATGAAAGTGCCCAAGGCCCAGCAGGCCCACTCATGAGTTCAATGCTTATTAGTTTTCTTCTGCTCAGAACTCCCCTGGGTTCCTTTCAGTTCTGACCTGAATATTAGTTCACTACATTCTGTTACTTTATCTTCTAGCTAAATATCACATTTATGTATGTTTAGTGTATTTCACAGTGCACTAAGGAATGACACTTATGGACAAAATTATTGACAATCAGGATGAAGATAAAGACCAAGTCATTCATCACCAACTTTTAGGCGTATTGACAAAATCTGAGATCTCTTATCACCCCACCAAAATTTCTTCAGCAGTTTTAAAATTCCCTAACTATTGGCACAGACTATTTCCTGGGTCCTCCTTATAATTCCTGCATGGGCTCCTCTTCTGGATGCTGGCAGACTTATTTTCCTTCACCTCCCTTCTCTACGCCCTTCCTCACTAGTTAGAGGGAGAGACCCACTCCAATTCCTGGTCCACCCAGTGCTGAGCCTGCCGTCCACCAACACCACCACCACCTTCCGCTGCCTACTCTCATAATGCCCAGGAGCAGCAGTCACTGTTCCCCTTATGGCTGAGTGAAAAGGAATTTCACATCCTTCATTTTTGTACTTTGTTTCTGTATTTCAGTATGTTTTGGGCATGATATTGGCTATGTGATATACATCTAAGAACTTTGAATTTACAGAGGAGAAAACTAAAGTATAGGAAGGTGAATGATTTATTGATGCTAAGATGCTACCACCAAAGGTTAACAGTCGGACTGAATTCCCTGCCTTTGTTGAATTTGTACTTTCAGTTGGTCGCAGGTCTCCAGCTGTGGGTTAGCCTCCTCATAAACGTGGATTGAATTGTTAATGAGTACTCAGTTTCCTCCACTTTAAATTGAGAATAACACTAACTCCTTTTTGAAATAGGTCCAACCTTACAGAATATCTTTCCTTCTCTAACAACACTGTGTTCAGGATTAAATATTCGACTATTACTTAGGAAATGAGACATCTGTGTTGTTTGCTGCTTTGGTTTGATAAGACTTGAAAATACATACACACACACACACAATGATAGAACTTTCAGATATTTCATAAGCTAATATGGACAGGAAACTTTAAAAAATATTTATTTAATTCCCACTCAATGAGGAGGCATAGGAAGGAAAATGATCACACCAAGGATCCATGCTCTGGTATTATACTTCACTGTGTGCTTTATTTTTTGAATTTTTATTTTTTATTAGTACATGCTTGCAGTATACAATGATCACATTTCTTGCGGGGAGTTGGAACATGTACATAACACATCTTCAGTATTTTTTTCAGCCCCTCTCCCCCCATCTCTTGGTCTCTTTCCTATTTGCAAAATATCTGTCTCCCTATTTTCTGTTATCTTTTGTTTTGGTCTTTATTTATATTTTGGGTTTCTCATATAATGGAAACCATGTGATATTTAAGCTTGTGTGTCTGATTTATTTCACGTAACATTATAGTGTCAAGGTACGTCCATTTTCCTGCAAATGACTCAAGTTTATCCGCTTTTATGGCAGAGTAGTACTCCATTGTGTGTAACTATCACATTTTCTTTATCCATTCATCTGTTGATGGATATATGGGCCGTTTCCAAGATTTAGCTATTATAATGGTGTCACTACAAACATGGGTATGCATGTATCACTGTAATGTGATGTCTTTAACTCTTTGAAGGAAATACCAGTAGGCATTTTCATAAGTCTTAGCACTTTTCAGTCTTACAACAACCTGATGGGAATGACAGGGAAGATGCTATCATCTCCAATTTACTTTTGAAAAATTGAAAGCTCAAAGAATGTAAGTGGGGCTGGGGATTTAGCTCAGTGATTTTGCCGCCTGCTGCCCAAGCGCAAGAACCCAAGATCGATCCCCAGTACCAAAAAAAAAAAAGACAAAAAAAGAATTTAAGTGAACCTTCCAAGACTAAAAACGTGATAAGTAGTGGAATCAACACTGGAGCCAAGGTCTGCCTCCCCCCCGCCGCCTTGATGACCTGGCATCAATGATCTGTTAGTTCTAATGTATTTTAACTTCATGCAAAATATGAATTTTTTTAAATGAGCGTATTCTATTTTTCCATTTTAAAAACCCCAAGGCCAGAGCTATATCAATATTTAGTTCCCTATAACCACAGTTTCTGTCAAAGGATAAAATCTCAGTGATACTTAATAACAATCAGATTATTTTGATGGATGCAAAAACATTTTAAATAATGGTTGTATTTAGCAAATTGGCTCTTCCAGGATATTTATTGTTTCCTTGATTATATCACCCAAGCAAGGATGAGAACTTTAGTTCTTAATGATTGTCTCCCTACTTGGTATACGTAAATTTTTATGAAGGAAATTTGTTCATCTTAAGAGAAACCATTTTAGGGCTGGGGATTTAGCTCAGTGGCACTGCACCTGCCTTGAAAGCACAAGGTCCTGAGTTCAATCCCCGGTACCACCAAAAAAAAGAGAGCGAGAAACCATTTTAACTCCTTCAGTATGTGCCTTCTGGTGTCCCTAAAAGATATATGATTAACTACATAATGAAAAATTTATTTTCCCTTGAACTCTAAAACTAGAAACATTACTCTATCCCTCTGCTTTCTGCCCCTCCTCCCCTCCACCATGTCTCTGTTGTACCAGATTTCTCTGTTACCACTCAGCAGTTGGTTTCAGCTCAAAAAACTACTTATTTCTACAATGTGGGGTATGTTTAATTAAGAAATTTCATCATTAATACAAATAATATCTACGACATACTCTGTTTGCCATATTTTTATGCATTATCTCATTTAATTCTTAAATGACAACTCAGTTAAAATTATATTATTTCATAGCAATCCTTGGGCATAGGGAATATCATTCTTCTTCCAATTCCGCTAAGGAGTTGGGATCTTATAACCGCCGTATGATTTACCCAAGGTCACACAGCTCATAAGCAGCAGTGTGAGATTTGACCCTAGGTATCTCTTAATTTGGGATTTCACAGCTATACTATACAGTTTCTGTCACTACAGATGGTGGCAGATGGACTTCATGCAAGATATTTTCAGTTTCCATTTTAAATCCCTCGTGGACAAAACTACTATCTGGGATAACAAAAGGCTTAATTCATCCACTTCCTCATCTATACACCTAACTTGAGATTACGGAAAGGTTTTCTAATGTCAACCTTTTCTGTCCATAGTTTAAAAATTAGATCAAAGTTGAGTAATTGCCAATTTATGGTCAATGTGAATAACCAATTCAAATATCAAACTAAAACTAAAATCATTTTCACACAATAAAAATTAAATAAGAATTACAGAGAGTCCACTCAGACAGGATGGGACTGTTTTCTAAACATCTGCATCAGACAGCGTGGCCTGAGATTTAAAGGTAACCAGAAGCACAGGGACCATTGCTCTGTAGGAAGGGTAAATACTATATGGTTTCTCTTATATGAAAAACCCAAAGTCTAAGAAATTTAAAGAGTAAAATAAAAGGAAACAGAGGGTAGATCTTTTGCAGATGGGAAAGGGATCTAGGGCCAGAGGGAGGATGGAGGGTAGAAGGAAAAGGGGAAATAATAAGGACTAAGATGTGATGTGTATGTGTACCCACTCCCCCAAATGAATGTATTCATTACATAGTACAACCATGTACTGATAAACATGAATAATAAAAAAAGAAATCACTGCTGTGTGACAGCTGGCAGTCTGGTGGCTCCTCCATCCCAGTGCAGAGGGGGAAGGGACCCTCTCAAGAACATGTAAACAAAATAAAGAGCTCTCTGGTAAGGTTATAGTAGATCCATGCCAGCCCTTTGTATTCTCTGCCTAGGGTCATTTCACTTACCGTGATTCATCCCAATCCTTAAAATAGGGGAATTTATAGGGAATGGCAGGCACAAAGTACCACACTTCCAAGCTGCCAGCCTTAATATGGAGAAGAAATCCTTTCCAGAGCACCACACCGTGAGGTAGAAAACTGCAGAGGTCAGAGCTCTGCCTGCATTGTTTATTTGAAAATTCCTAACCCTAACTTCTCTCTAACAGAGCAAACACTGGCCTTAGGAAACTAAATTGAGGTCGGCGTCAGAGTCGGCGTCAGCGTTGGCGTCCAGGTCCCCATCCCCATCCCAGCCTGCTCTCCCGAGTCCGCAGCAGCTGTGCGTGATCGGATCTCCTACGCCTTCAGGCCGTCCACGACAACCAGATCCTCATCGTCATTGGCGAGACCGGGTCCGGGAAGACCACGCAGATCACCCAGTACCTGGCTGAGGCTGGCTACACATCCTGGGTCAAGATCGGCTGCATCCAGCCCTGGTGCGTGGCCTCCATGTCCGTGGCCAAGCGGGTGTCCGAGGAGTTTGGCTGCTGCCTGGGGCAGGAGGTGGGCTACACCATCCGTTTCTAGGACTGTACCAGCCCCCAGACCATCATCAAGTACATGATGGATGGCATGCTGCTGCGCGAGTGCCTGATCGACCCCGACCTGACACAGTATGCCATCATCATGCTGGACGAGGTGCACGAACGGACGATCCACACCGACGTGCTCTTCGGGCTGCTGAAGAAGGTGACATCCTGGTCTTCCTGACTGGGCAGGAAGAGATCAACACAGCCTGCGAGATCCTGTATGAGAGGATGAAGTCGCTGGGCCCCGATGTCCCCGAGCTGATCATCCTGCCCATGTACTCTGCCCTGCCCAGCAAGATGCAGACCCGCATCTTCGACCCGGCCCCGCTGGGCATCTGGAAGGTCGTGATTGTCACCAACATCATGGAGACCTCGCTGACCATTGATGGCATCTACTACCTGGTGGACCCCGGCTTCGTGAAGCAGAAGGTCTACAACTCCAAGATGGGCATCGACCAGCTGGTGGTGACGCCTATCTCCCAGGGCCGATGGCATTGGCTATGAAGAGGAAGGTGGCCCAGAAGCTTGCTGCTCAGAAGGCTTTGACAGGCACGTTCCCAAAAGTGTGCATCATGGCTCTGGGGTGGAACTCAGGACCTTGTGCTTGTGAGGCAGGTGCAGCATAACTGAGCTACATGGCCAGCCTTGCAGTGCGTTCTCTGAAGCTTTGCTCATTGTATCCCAGGGCGTTGTGGTTCTTGGAGAATAAAAATTGCCCCTGCCTTCTGAGCTGAAGTATCTACTGGTCCCATGGTCTCCGTCCCGGGTTCGAACTCCCTTTGAAACTGTGAAGTCATCACAGTGGGGATGTCTATGAAGCCCGAATCTGATGGAGAGGAGTGAGTTCTGAAACATGGAACCCTTACTGAGTTCAGAGCAAATGGCAACACTGTGG